TAGTGAAGTAGATTTTGTTCTTCTTTTTTTTACTCTATGTGTTTTGCTGCTCTCTTCCCAGCATCAGAACAGTGCTAGAAAAATATAGTACGAATTTAATAAGTATTTCTTTAATTGAATTCAATTAAATTATCCCAACTCTGCTAATCCTTTTCCTTCTGACAATGATTTTATGAGCCATTACCACTAAATACTTAGCCTTTGAAATGAAAAAAAAAACCCACAGTTCGCTTTAAGTAGAATCTACATCAGTTTATTTCCACAGAGAATTTGCTTCCCTCTGAGATGTTCCGCGATTTGCTGACTGACAGCTTTACTTGTTTTCCACAGAAATAGTGTCTGTCTGTCTGCTTAGGCTACAACTGCCTCTATCCTGAAATGCCCTACTTACTTCAGGGTCCTTTGCCATGTTAACTCTGAAGGCAAGAGAAAGATATTTCTCTCACGGGGAATTTGAACTGAAAATAGGCTCTCCTTCATAACATAGGTCCTTAGGATTTCCTGTGTAATTCCAGTAAGTATTCACTGGAAGCAATTTTGTATAATCAGTTTGACATGTTCCCTGCAAAATAAGCCCAGAGACAATGATGTGCATGCAAGAAGTGCATTGAGCCATATTCTCAGGACGATATCTATGAGGGTGTACATGCAGCAGGATTGGGAAGACAAGAAGGAAGAACTGGGTACACAAGCATCAGACAACCCCACAGTTGATCTAAGATGAGGATGGCCTTTCAGAGAATTCCTAAGTCAAGGCACAGCAGCTAGCCCTCTGTTTCTCTACATTAGCCATAGTTGGATGCTGGCCACTCCTGGGGAGGGATCTGGAGCCTTGAGGAGCTCAACTCTCTTCAAACAAAGCATTTCTGGGAGAAGCACTCAGCTGCCAGTCATTATCATGCAACACTACTGGTTTCTAACAGAATGAGTGTTTCCTGGAGGCATACCGAGCATCCACCACAAACTTCATACTCATTTATGAGATTAACATATGGGATGAGATATAAAAGAATTACAAGAGTCCTTTCTTAGAGGTAAATAGAAGAATGGGTATAAAATGGAGCAGGTAGATTAGGAGGCATCATAATTATAACATATAATAATATCTTATTATAAAATCTAGGAGATATAGTACTAACTGGTTAATATTTTTGCCTAATTTTAGGAAGAAAAACAAAGATTTTTTTCTGTTGAAATAAGCAATTATTAGTATGGTTATTAATAATAAATATATTTTCTTTATGATCATTAATGAAAAATGTTTGCAATTGTCATTGTCTTATTATAATAGTCATATATATTCATAAAGAAAATTTAAAAATATTTTTAAAGCATAAGAAGAAAAATAAGAACACAGAACCCCACTACCCCGATGATGCTTGTTACCACTTGGTTAAAATTCTTTCAGGTGCTAAGGAATCAGTCAGTCTCTCTCTCTCTCGCTCTCTCTTTCATTCTCTCATTTTCTCCACATTGTATATATACATATACATACATATTACATTCATCTATACTCTTTTTATCCTGAAGTACTATTCTACTGGTTACACATGATTATATGCATTTTAATTTCTGTATTTCACTAGGTTACCATAATTCATTTAACCAATGAACTACTGCTTTTGATATAGACAGATAACTCTTTTTTTTAAAGATTTTATTTATTTATTCATGAGAGACAGAGGGAGGGAGAGAGAGAGAGAGAGAGAGAAGCAGAGGGAGAAGCAGGCTCCCAAGGAGTAGGGAGCCCGATGCGGGACTCAATCCCAGGACCCTGGGATCATCACCTGAGCCGAAGGCAGACGCTTAACCATCTGAGCCACCCAGGGGTCCTAGACAGATAACTCTTTAAGTTCTTTAATTTTTTTTCTTAAGCCTTGGGCAGGCTTTCCTGAAACCCAGTTACTGGAGGATATATGACAACATATTTTACAGGACATGTTTATAATTCCTCAATATGTTCCTCAGCATGTAAAGAAGCTTTGAGGCATGTATCTTTGAAAGTAATTAACACACTAAAATGTTGGGTCTCTTAAACATACAATTATTTGTGTTGTTTATATTTTGTTGAATCCAATTTTTATTATTAAAGAAACTCAGCAATTACTATCAACTTCCTTAAGAGAGAATATGTACTTTAATCTTCATTCACATAACTGAAGATTATTGGATATAAAGTTCCCTGTGCTTTATTTAAATACTTCCTTTAATAAGAAATGCATAGTATTAATTAAATATTTAATTCTGGGTAGCTTGTCAGCACCATGTATTGCTACTGAAGGCACATTAACGGGGATAATTAAAGAAATTGGTGATGCACTAGATAGGAATTCTTAACATTCTTTTACAGTAAACTCATTTTGTGTAGTAATAAGCTTTGTCATTACAAATGAAATGCACCACCTGGTACAATTAGCCTTATGCCTCTTGTTTTTTAGTACATCTCAGAACTGCAGTACAATGCTATAATTTGCATTGTTAAAGCTCAAACAAAATGCCAGAAACTTGATTCAAAAATGTCTTTTACACTAGGGTCTAGGGCCATTTAATATATCATATTCCAGTTAGGTATCATGAACTTTTTGAAGACAGCCTAATGTTGAAATAAAATAATGGCAAAAGTTTAAATAGAAGTAGCTTAAACTTTCAGGTAAGAGTACCTGAATCATGTAATCCAGTGAAAATTGGAGTGTTATATTAACTACCCAAAGCAATCTACAAATTTAACACAATCCCTATCTAAATACCAATAGCATTTTTCACAGAACTAGAACAAATAATCCTAAAACGTATGTAACCACAAAAGACCTTGAGTAGCCAAAGCAATCTTGAAAAAGAAAAACAAAACTGGAGGTATCACAATTCCAGATTTCAAGCTATATTACAAAGCTGTAGTAATTAAAATAGTATCGTATGGCACAAAAATAAACACATAGATCAATGGAATAGACCAGGAAACTCAGAAATGAACCCAATTATATGGTCAATTAGTTTTTGACAAAGCAGGAAAGAATATCCAATGGGAAAGAGACAGTCTCTTCAACAAATGGTGTTGGGAAAACTGGACAGCAACATGCAGATGCATGAAACTGGACTACTTTCTTAAAGCATACACAAAAATAAACTCAAAATGGATTAAAGACCCAAATGTGAGGCCTGAAACCATAAAAAATCCTTGAAGAGAGCACAGGCAGTAATCTCTCTGACATCAGCCGTAACAACATTTTTTTAGATATGTTTCCTGAGGCAAGGGAAATAAAAGTAAAAATAAACTATGTAGACTACGTCAAAATAGAAAGTTTCTGTACAGAAAAGGAAACAATCAACAAAACTAAAAGGCAACCTACGAAATGGAAGATTATTTGCAAATGACATCCGATAAAGGGTTAGTATCCAAAATATATAGAAAACTTATAAAACTCAACAGCCAAGAACCAAATAATTCAATTAGACATAAACAGACATTTCTCCAAAGAAGACATACAGATGGCTAAGACACATGCTCAACATCACATATCATCAGGGAAATGCAAATCAAAACTACAAAAAACCTCACACCTGTCAGAACGGCTAAAATAAAAAATACAAGAAATAACAAGTTTTGGGGGTGATGTGGAGCAAAAGGAACCCTCTTGTACTGTTGGTAGAATGCAGACTGGTGCAGCCACTGTGGAAAATGATATGGAGATTCCTCAAAAAGTTAAAAATAGAACTACCCTATAATCCAGTAATCACACTACTGGATATTTACCTGAAGAATACAAAAACACTAATACAAAGGGATACATACACCCCTATGTTTATTGCAGCACTATATACAATGGTCAAAATATGGAAGCAGCCCAAGTGTCCATCAATAGATGAATGGGTAACAAAGATGTGGTATATATATACACAATGGAATATTATTCGGCCATAAAAAAACAATGAAATCTTGCTATTTGCAACAACATGGATGGAACTAGAGAGTATAATGCTAAGCAAAATAAATCATTCAGAGAAAGACAAATACCATATGACCTCACTCATATGTGAAACTTAAGAAACCAAACAAATGAGCAAAGGAAAAAAAGAGAGAGAGAGAGAGACAACTCAAGAAAGAGACTTTTAACTATAGAGAACAAACTTATGGTTACCAGAAGGGATGTGGGCTGGGGGATAAGGGAAATAGGGGAAGGAGATTAAAGAGTACACTTATCATGATAAAAAAATATATAGATAAATAAATAAATACATAAATAAAATCATAAAAATAATGTTTTATTAAAATATAAACTGAATACAATTAATCATGTAAGTATATTAAACATGTAAAGTAAATTAAAGTAAAATTGTCTAATAATATTTAGCTGAAGCATTATAGATTATCTTTATAGATATATCTATAGATATATAGATTATCTTTATAGATATATAGATATAGATTATCTTTCCAACATACCATGGGAAGATGGGAGGAAATCTAAATGGAATGGGCATGAACTTATTAATTAACTTGAGAACCCCTCTTAGTAGGATGAATATAGCACAATTTTAAAATTTAGGGCAATAATGATTCCAATAAAACAAAGGTCAAAAATAAATATAGTAAATCTCTCACTTATGAGGCGAGTTCTAAGGGTATCTCCATCTCCTAAAGTTCATTAAAATCACTATGGGGACATATATGTGACAATAAAAATCACAAAAGTTCTGAAATCTAATGATAAAAATAGGAACAAAAATAGTACCTGTATTTCTTGATATAAGCTAACTTAGAAGACAACTTAGGCAATGCTTTCAAAACGCCAATGTAACCCTTCCAGGGAAAGACTGGGAGATGGGCCATTTTGCCTGCTCCCTCTACACTGAGCTGGTGGAAGGGTTGGAGTATGTCTGCTGGGAGTGCCTCTGTGCTCATTAGCAACTGCTCTTTTGTTTGCTGTAGTGTTGTAGGTCTCATGGACCCTAGACTAAGTAAGGTTGGTAAAGAATGTGTCTTCAGTCTTTCCTACCTGTTTTTGATGTTTGTGTTTTCTCAACCACCTGTGTGTCTAATGAAGAGCATTCTGGATCTCTCCATGGTGCCATCTTGGTTGAAACCTAAAATAAGTTTTGATTGGATGACAGTCATTGGAAACTTCCAACTGTTGATTACTGAATGTTGTTGACTGACTTTTAACAATGTTGGATTTTAATAGACTGTTGAATTGTATGAAAATCCTACCGTTCAGGGTGAGTTTAAAGGAGGAATCAACAAAGTTTTTGTAAAAAGGCCAGACAGCATCTATTTTAAGTTTTGCAGGCTCAATGGTCTCTATCTCAACTAATCAACTCTGGTGTTTTAACACAAAAACCTCCAGAGATAATATGTAAATGAATGAGAAGAGCTGTGTTCCAATAAAACTTTATTTACAAAATCAGACCGAGGGTCAGATTTGGTTCTTAGTTTGCTGACCTCAGTCTATAATAATCTATTCTAGAGGAGTAGTTCAGCCCAATTACTAAAGCACGGCCTTGCATCTCTACTAAATGCCCTGTATATTTAATGAGGTTTCTTCACTGTGGTTGCTGGGTTTCAGAAGGATCTATGGCCCTGTTTCAGGTACAGCAATTGTTTGGCTTACAGTTACTTGGCAATTGTTCTTTCCTCTGAAATTTTTCTTTGCCTGCTCTCATGGAGTTTAACCTTACACACACACATTGGTATTCAGCCTAAGACTCCAAAGGATCCTTATGCAGATTTCTCTGTGTAACTCTCTCCTCACTGGTAATCTGCTTCCAATATTCTAGCCAACATGGTTTCTCCAAACTACAAACTAGATCTTCTGTGTTGGTCTTCCCTGCTCTAGGATTTCAAAAAATCACCTGTAGGGAGAAAGCCAGAGTGATTGAGAGCAGTTAATTCTCTTGTTTCTCTTCTCTCACAGTCTTGTGCTGTCTGCCACCCAGTATCTGAAAACAAATGTTTTGTCAAATTTTCTAGTTGTTTTTGGAGGGAAGTAAGACCTTACCTGGAAGCATAAGTCCTCAGTATAGATTTATGAAGAAACTTTTTATCAAGAAACTCGCTACCTCTGCACATTTTTTCTGAGGAACACTTCTGGACACTTCTGAAAAAAAAATAGATTACTGTTCTCTAAAATCCACAAGAACTTAAAGGACTGTATAATTTTCCAGTGTATTCTGATGGCAGAGTCCTACTTTGGAAGTATACCTTAGCAACACTGTAGAGCCAAAAATGCTCTTTTTTTAAAGATTTTATTTATTTCTTTGAGAGCAAGAGAATGAGAGATAGAAAGCACGAGAGGGAAGAGGGTCAGAGGGAGAAGCAGACTCCCTGCTGAGCAAGGAGCCCGATGTGGGACTCGATCCTGGGACTCCAGGATCATGACCTGAGCCGAAGGCAGTCGCTTAACCAACTGAGCCACCCAGGCACCCCAAAAATGCTCTTATACAGTAAGTATGCACGCTGCTTGTTTGGAGAATTAAGACCACAACTATGTAAAAAAAAATAAATTTTAAAATTTCATTGCATATTCTCACTGATTCTACCAGCTAGAATCGTATTTACCAGGAAAATCTGAAAGAAAAGTCAAGTGTTAATAATGACTTTAGTGCCCTGATTATCAAGCTATTCTATACCTAATATTGTCTCTTTTTTCCCTAAAACAGGTGATATTAATATTTATAGTCATTATAAATTCTTTCTTCCTTTCCCATTTGCTAATGCTGTCTTTTGATATTTCAAATATTAAAAAACCTGCTTTCATTGTCACTTTCTTGAGAAAGATAGCTGCTATGTAGTCATAAAGCTGCCCTAGCAATGAAGTTAGTGATATAGTTTCTCCATTAAGCAGGCTCTGCTATCCAAGCAGAGAGAATTTAAGGACCTAGATATAACCATGGAGAGAAGCTAACAATGTAATCATGGTTAACTTTCTGAAAAGCACTTTTATCTAATTTGAATAGCCAAATTCTATATGATAGCTGTATTAGGGTTCTCCAGAGAAACAGAACTAATAAGCTAAATATGTAGAGAGACAGAGGAAGGGAGAGAGAGAGGGAGAGGGAAAGAGACAGAGAGAGATTTATTATAAAAAGTTGGCTCACACGATTATGGAGATCGGTGAGGCCAAAATTCGCAGTGTGAAACACCAGGTTCAAGACAGAGAAGAGCCAATGGTGCAGATGAAGTCCAAAGGAGTTTGCTAAAGAATTCCTTCCTTCTGAGAGAGGTTGATCTTTTTGTTCTATTCAGGCCTTCTACTGATTACATGAGGCCCACCTACTTTATAGAGAGCAATCTGATTTACCCAAAATTCATCAATTTAAATGTTAATCTCATCTCCAAACACCCTCCAAGTTGACACATAAAATTAACCATAACAATAGCGTTTACATTAATCCCTGAGGCCTTATTAAAATACTGACAAGAAGATAAGCAATTTAAAATGAATGTTTGATAAACTAACAAGGACATAGTCACTTTATAGGATGTAATGAAGAGGAGGTGTTATAAAGAGGAGCAGGTGGAGGTTATAGAAAAAACATTCGAAGGGGAAACACTGAAAAGTTGATGTAAAAGGAAAACAGTATTTTTTTTTTTGTATTCTATTATTAAATCTCTAGAATGTTTACCATTGTCCCAAAGGCCTTACACATCAGCGGCACATAAGGAGAGCTGTGGAAACTCAGGAGCACCAATGACTTTAGATAGTTCAAAGAATCAGGTGTGGAAACTCTGCAATTAGTGTGACAATTAATAAGCAGTTTTAATCACACAAGGGTAAGAGATTTTTAACTTCAGCCTTTGGTGTTAACATTCCTAAAGAGAAAGCAATATTATACACAGCAATAATTAAACTTTGGTAAAGGTGTTCCTATTCTGACTCCAAATCTACAGGAATCAGATAGATTTTTTTTTTTTTGGCTTTTTCTAAACCTCTCCTATGGTCCCAAGGCAAGAGTCAAAAGTAATTTGTGAGGAATTCTCCCCAGCTATCTTTCTTCTTCTCCACGGATATTTAGAATGTATATAATTACTATACTCCCTTGATTCTTATCCATCATCCTCAAAACTTTATCCAGTGATACTGGGTGAAGTGGGAAATAAAGAAGTAAAATCTTGTGCTTTTTGTGTCAAACACAGCACTCTTCCGAGGACTCAAAGTTAATCGAGCCACCCCTATTATCACAAGCTTCTAAAACACTCACTCAAAAACTGTCTTTCTTCAATCTATGAAAAAATAATGAAATAGATCCTAATTCATTTGCATTTTTATATCTTCATTCTTTCAAATAACCTGTCAAATATCTTTACAGCTCTCATACCACATTTTATTTTTATATTCAGAAACAATACTAAGACCTATGTAAACATTAACGTGAGTAGATGATGGTAGAGTAATACCAATTAGATCTATTTTCATTAATCATACATTCAAATGTGTGCTTTCAGGGTTTATATACGAATTTTCCCATGGCAATATGAAAACATTTAGGTAACTGTTGCTGAACATTATGTGCAACCGTGTGATCATTCATGAACATTTATATGAATCTTTCATTGCCCATCCAAATAAATGCCACATTGAGCATTCAATATGTTTGAATGTGCAATCTCTCACAAAAAAATAATCTTTCTTCAAACCATAATGTTAAGCATTACCTTACTACTGGGCTTTTACTATTGTATTAGAGTGTGATTCTGCACATATTATCTTTGGGATTTTGTGCTATGAGCCATGGGATGCTCCTATACAGTGGTGCCTGGATCAAAGGACCTGAGCTTTATTAACCTACTGCAAAGAGAAAATAGAGCAGAGGTGCTTGCCACTCTTATTTTGACTGTTTCATTTAGACAGTAAATCTCAGTAGCATTAAAGGTGATCTGAAATTTAAATACTGTAAAGGATTTCCAAAATTAACAATAGGCTGTTTCAAACTGCAAGATGAACAAAATCCACTTAAAACTTTAGGTGGTATTTATTTTTTTCTTCACTTCTTTTTATTTTCCTTTAAGCCTCCAAGAATTAATTAAACAGCCCATTTTTCTAAAGCCTAGAGAGATACTGGACTTGCTGAAGTTAGCCTTGGTAAGCATCAGAAAAAGCTGTCCTTTTGCTAAAAATCCTGAGTTTCTTAAAAGAAATATATTCCCATTCTTCTAGAAATGTTAAATAACAAAACTCTAACACATGTAACTTTAAATAGTGCCACCCGTATGAATATTAATGACAGTACAGAAAACAAGCTAATTAAACTTGAACCAACTTACTTAATACTCCCAGAAATTATAGTAAAAACAGGAAGGGAAAAAGCCCTAAAACCATTACAAATGCAAAATCAAGGAGTGACCAAATAACACAATGTCATTCTCAATCACTTTCTGTAGCTTATAATACAACGTGCTACTTAGATCCTTCAGGACTGAGACACTCAGTCTCACACATTTTGAGAATGCCAGTAGCTGAGTCTCTCTAGAAATTCTCTTTAGCTAAAGAGAGCATCTACACTCAGGTCATATTCCATCCCAAAGTAGAAATCTACCCATTGTCAACACAGGAGTGTAAAGTCATAACTCCTTTGTCTCAAGACAAGGCCACTCTAAAGGGCCATCCTAACTCCACTGCTTCCCATGAAACCATATAAGTTCATCCTTGTAACTGCTGTGAAGTTCTGTTTCTCTCTTTATCCAATTCTAGTGCCTTTACTCATGCAAAATGTTGATATTGAGGGTACAAACCAAAACACTTCTCACATGCAAATCTCCATCTCAGTCTGTTTTCCATAAATCCTGACTTAAGACAATCAGTATCAGTAGTAGTCTAAGTATATAGGTTTTAATATGGGATCCTGAAGCTGAATGCTCTGCCAACAAGCTGGCAAGGAGGACTCCATAACCGGCAGTAGGTGGAGCTCTTCAATTACAGCAGTGCATTTGTTAAAACTCCCCTGTGGTGAACTGGTTTGGTATGCTGATGCAAATGAACATGCTCACAAGTGCAGTACCTCAGTCTTTTAAGTAGCTCAGGGAAGTATTAGAAGGAAATTGTGACAGATGTCTCTTGCTGAGTGACTTTGATGCATCAGAGAAGACCAATAAAAGGCTGTGGGTGATTAATCACCAACTGAAGGTGAAGTGTAAAATTCAGAGGGCTTCCTTGGCAGCTTATAAAGAGGCTCTTATCTCCTGCAGTTGGAGGCAGGGAAAAAAAACCTGAGAATTTGGCCCAGAAATTAATTGTGATAGTAGCAGAGAGCCTTCTAGAGAAGGTTGAATTGTCAGTCTTTCCAACAAAGGATGTGTCAGTGATAGATTCTTGGTTGAAAAGAGTGAGACCATGAGGCTTGAGTTGGGGACATCTGGGTTAATGAACTCATAAACACCCCTTGAATCCTCTGGGCTTGAAGAAGAGGCCAGTTCCTTCCGAGTAAAGGCTAGCATGCCTCCATTGCTTGAAAATGATGCAATGATCACTGCCTCATAGGACATCATGAATACTCCTCAGCACCAGGCTGTAGCTCCCCATTTAGCCTCTAGGGTGGGAAACTCTGAGGCATGCTAAGGAAAATAAAGGACTATACCCCTAAGGGAACTTGTGGGCACTTTCCAATAAACTTCCAGTGGGTTCTGTAGGACCTAGTCAATATACACTTGAAGGAGCTAGAAGAATATGATTGGGACTGCATCCTGAGGGTCCTATATCAAAGAAAGGCAGAACATGAGATTGGATAAGGATTTGTTTAATTGATAAGAAGGAACTGTCCCATTATAAAGGATTTGAGACCTTGACAAAGATCTCAGAAAATAATCCTGATACATTGTCGAGATGATTCCTGGAAGCCTAGAGAAAATGATAGCCAATAATAAGTAGAGTTAGAAAAGCCAAAACTGTCATGGCAGACATGAAAAAGAGGAATTTAAAAAATTCACAAAAGTGGCCAAGCTACTGGATATACTATGTAAGGCTAGAAAACCTACCAGTTAAATGCATTCTAAGGGAAAGCCTGGAATACACCCCAATTACAAAAGCAATTGTAATGCACTAGTAAAAGAAACACCATCATCCTTGAGACACTGAATGGTACCATTCTTCTGTTGGTAGGA